AGCAAATTGAGAGCGACAGCGTGATCTCCATCTGTCTGAATATCCTCTACTCCAATCATACAAACAAACACTGTTTTTTTTTCCATCAGCGTCTGCTATCGAAGAAGGCACTGAGCTGCTCTACAATCTTATAAGGCCAATAGACGCCGCTCAGACACCATACTACTAGTCGAGCAAGATCCTAATACAAAGAACAGTAATGGGACAGTAGTGGTAAAAACAGTCTTTGCCAGGGTCAAAACCATTTCGACAAAGAAACTTGAAAACAGTTGAATAGCAAAGGGAAAGCGCATCTCTCTAGTAAGTTGCACAGTTCATAGAGTACCACTCAGGTAGCTCTCCTCTCTTTCGCCTCTGACAGGTGATGTGGTTTCCGCATGCATTTCTTCCAAAATATGTGCTAAGGTGTTCTGTTTAATATCACACATGTCATTTATCTTCCGAGAGATAATGGCACCTGATAAATAGAAAAATTTACCAAACTTTGTATTAAAAGATTAATTTAATTTCATTAATTCATGGACTCATTTTTTGAACAGAAAATCATAAAGTGCATATTAACTTTTGACTCTACACCAATTAATTTTCCATTACATCTAAGGAATTAGTTCAGACAAAGATGACGAAATATGAACATACTGATCATTTATATTGAGGCATCTCTCCGATGAAGAAGAGTAAAATATGAAATTGATCAAAATGGATATGCGTTAAAAACTTATAATCATACATCAGTAGGAATGATGGTACGTTTGAAATTAAATTCTCATTGTCTGCAATAATTTGACAAAAAAGAAAAGCCGTTAGTGATTAATAAGATAACACATTCTAAGGGGAAAACGTGGTGCTGTAAAGGAAGTTCGCAAAGTTCGCAGAGTCACTGGCAAGACTAGAGTGATCGCTGAATCTTCGAGGCATTAACTTACTCTAGTAGGTATTTTGTGACTGTTCGTCGGTATGTTTATTAGCGGACGGCTTTGATATAAGCGTTGTTCGTTGCAACTTTTCTCGGTGCCAACAACATGTGTACTGCTTTGCGCGGTCGAATACTACTATCAGTATTTTCTTGCCGTACCCCTGGTATATTGAAGTCCTGTGCTGGTACATAGACAAGCATTATGGACAGATCATCTATTGATATTATATCTAAATGAGTCATAGTGGCCATCGTGAAAGCAATTTCAGCGTCGTTTGTCTTCCTTCTTCACCATATCAATTTTTGGCTTACACAGCAAAACTTGGAAGACATATGGCAGACTCCTACTGTTGAGTTTCAGGAAGAGAGGAAAAGCCGCAACAGTTTGGATGATGCTTTTCTTTGCATTTCCGGGATAGGGCGCCAATTGTAACTACCTTCTACAGCGCTTATGTTGCTGCTCTGATCTAAGTTTCAACGGCTTCTTTTCAGTCAGAAGTGCCTTCATTACGAAATGTATACCTGCAGCTAGGTGTCGAACAAAATGTTTAGTTGCTGCTTCGTTCCCATAACCTGATACGTTTATGTATTCCTCTGAAGGATGAAAGGCTGGTGACTCAGACAAAATTTGAAACTGTGATTATAACAGTGACTGTATAAATGTGTCTGTTAATATCATCACTTCGAAGCAGTTGCGTATGCAGAACTTCTCTGATTAGTAATGTCCGCTACATTCACAGCATTTAACACTCATAATAAGGCACTAATTACTGCATCATAAAAGAACGTATCTTCTCTGACTGCAGATCTACCTTTACCTTGTTCGTTCAGGCTGCATACTGGCCTCCGGGTCGATATCTGCTGTCTTTCAACTCTTACATGAGGAGCTCACAGGCCATAGTAAATGATTTATGCTCAACCAATTTGTCTAACAGGGTGAACCTCCTTTCTCAGTCTTTTCATTTACACAGGTAACCTGTGACCGGCAAATGAAAGAATCATTCCTGGCGCTTTCCCGTCATTAGATCTCATTATGTATTGAAGCAAACGTTCTTGCACTCAGCCCGCCACTGTTTTTACTCATTCGTTAAAACATATGTCTCCGAGGCATGTACAGACACTGACCTGCATGAGGCAACGTACAGGCGCATTTTTATGGAATGATATACTCCTTTCTCAGCCAGGGTATTGGAGAGTTTGTAGAAAAGCACTTGCGGCTAAAGTGATTCACTTATTTTATTTTGGCTGGATGGTGCCATCGATGGAGATAATGGAGCCGAGACACTTGAATTGGTCAACATCCGGAAGCGCTCAACTTCTCTGTTCCGTTTGCAAATTTGCTGTATGCAAATGGGCTCATCATAACTTTGTATTTCTGTGCGTTAACGAAGAGATCAGGCTTCGCAGTTGTGACGTATACAAAGGTCTCCAGTGATAGATCCAGCACCCTGTGCTACTTGCTAGGAAAACATTATCTGGGTACTCCAGATCAGTAAGATATCTAGCCAGATTTGAATATTTTGAGCCGGATATCTTGAACCGCGCCTTCTTTCTAAAATGAGATCTTCATCTTCATCTTTACCTTGGAGAAGAACATCAAAAACAGTTTTGAATAGCAAACGTAAAGATACATATCTCTGGCGAGCTCTGACTTTGACAGCAGATATGGTTACCTACATACGTCTCTTCCAAATATGAAACATATGCTCAGGCATCCCATGGCATTTTAAGATTTCCGACATCATCGGATGATAAAATAACGATTTTCTATATTCTTTGTTATTCTGCACTCTACTTCAACCACGTAAACTCAAACTGGTGTCCGTAGAACACGGCATGAAGCAAAATGCGTGTCGGAAATCTATTCCTCTTTTCTGTTGGTTCATTTTTCCATCCCACCATCTAGTTGCTCAGTTTCTTTTCCTTTGCTCCCTGAGATCACAACCTGCCGGTTCCCATTCCTTTACTAACCCAAAAGCCTAATCGAGTTGATGGTTTCATGGTGAAGCTTCTTCATTTCAAACTTATTCTTACTGGCAAAGCAGAGGATATGTGAATGTGACTTAGAACATCCCTTCTTTTAAGCGCTAAATAATACCGTGCCGGTGTTCTGGTAAGAGTCTGATTTTGAAGCATTTTCATTGCCGTCATTTTATAGTCAGGTAACTTTCAAGATTTATGCTATTCTGATGGCGGTTTTTCTTTTGAGAGATTTAAATTTCAAACAAGCTAATTGCAACAGCGCTTTACGAGCTATTTCCGGCCGGTCGTCACTTTACCCATATTAACTCAATCAAATCGAGAACGGGTAGAATTCTGTAAGCTTACTGGGATACTGAGAGGTTTTTTCGTGATCAATAACTAAAAAATTCATAATATATTGAGCCATAGAGAATACTAAACTGTGGCGTGAGCGTTGCTCCTTGGTGTCAAAATAGTGCATGTTGGAATGTTTCAGGGCGATTCTGGTGGCCCTCTTGCTTGTTTGTATAATGACACGTGGTATTCGCAAGGAGTCGTCAGTTGGGGCTATGGCTGTGCTCGACCGATGCGCCTTGGAGTTTATGCCAGAACCTTGGCCATGAAAACATGGATTCAGTCAACGGTGACCAACCGACGACGTCATTGATGATGGACGTTATTGAAGGCAATGAGGTTGCTTCAAAACGTATCAGCGACTTGGCGCCATTTTAACGCCCATCCACAATTTGTTTAGTAATTTTACTGTTCTGATTGTTGATTAAATTTAGTTTTAGCTTTAGTATAATTTTTACAGCAATTTCAGCAAAACGTTTATGAAACAGGAAGCAGAAGCGACCTTGACAAGCTTAAAGGGGCAGTGCATTGTGCTGTTAAATCTCGTCTAGGACGAGTTACGTGTTATTTGACATGCCCCAGCGTGTCATCGTATTTTGTTGCTACGCTGTAGTGCATAACGATTGTCAACTCTTAAAACGTCGTTTGCAATGTTCGCGAGGGTACTCTAATGGACAAAACATTGGGAGTTGCGTCTGACTTTGCAGGTTCTCATATATCATGGAGACTTGGCCTGCTTCAGTGGTCCCTCAATGAGAGCAAGGGTCGATGCAGTACATCGTGAAATATGGTTTTGAGGGCCTTATGCATTAATATGTCCCCAGGTACCATTATGGGAGAAAAGTTACTTGCATACGAAACGCTACTCTTCATATCTGTGGTTACGTAACTCAAATATTTTGCCCTTTTCGCAGTTGACACAAATGGAATAACTTGCGTCACATCTCAAACTCATTCGTCAAAGTGAAGTTCATCCATTGTGTCTTCGTAATCTCACGGTTGCTCCGTAATTTCTCGATTTCTTTAATTAGTCAGTCAGCCATTCAGGCAGTCAGCAGTTTCCATGACCGCTTATCCTTTCGGGTGAGTTGCGGCGGCAGCAGCGTAAGATATTGCCGCCAACGTTCCTGATCCTGTGCCAGCATTTAAGCTTAGGCAGCAGAGTCCGTCGAGATACACACTCCGGATTATTGTTGGCCGTTGCTGGGGTCATCGGCCAGTCGGCTATTTGGTCAAGTAGTATCTATTTTACCTTCCTTTTTGAAAGCACTTGCAAGAGATGTCCAAACTATCCTAGCTGCTACTGTTCAATCTGAAAAAGTAGCACCTGTACGTCATGACTCTCTCGAATATTTGAACTGCGGACTGTCGAAATGTGTGAACTCAGCGGATTGACTCAGAAAGCCAGTTTCATCCGCATGTACGTGGGGTCGAAGTTTTTCATTCAAGGTCCACAGTTCATGACCACAGTTGAGCGTGAGGATGAACATCGACTTGAAAACAGTTACTTTAGTCTTCAGGCTCAGCACAAGTCACAACGGTTCATGCTAGTCTCCACACAACGTTGTTGGCGATTCCAATTCGCTGGACAATCTCTTTGTCCCATTTTCCATCACCGGTAAACACTGCTACAAGGTACATGAACTTCTTCACTCGCTCCACTGCTTTTCCGTTTATCTGTAGAGAGCGCAGCGGGTAGGAGAACGAGAGAGAATGAGGTTTTTCAGGTTAGACACGTTCATAATGTTTATGCACATGCTGGCTACGTCATACTCAGTCGCTGCGAATGTTTCCAGGGTGCGATGAAAATCTGTTTCAGAAGATGCCAACAAAGCAAGGTCGTTCGTCTGCAAACGACAAACTTCTCGCCTCCACGTCTACGCTGGCACACTCGTCGCCCTGTCTACGCCTGACTAGCCGATATACGTATAACACAAACAAGATATGACGAAAAGCACCCTTGGCAGAGACCAACGCCAACGCTGAAAGGTTTGTTTAAGGTCATTCACCCTGAGCAGACTTGCAATCAGTATGGTTCATTTCGGTTGCCACTTCAAACGAAATTGAAACTTAGGCAAGAATTTTTTCCCCTGAGTTTTTGGACAGCCACCGATGTTGTAAAACGGCATTTTCGGTTTCTCATATGTAGTATTTCCCACAATCGCAAGGTAGTTTGTAAATTCAACCAAGAGAGTTACTATAATCGGCGCTAGTTAATAGAGTACTAATTTTACTGGAGCTTTAATATATAACAGAACAAATACCTGTACTATGACCGTACTTTCAAAGACTACTTGGTATTAAATACAATATTAATGTTATATATTCAAACTCCAGTAAAATGAACAGTCATGCTACATAAGAAATACCGTCATTCGAAGAATAAAAGACCACATGGCATACTGGAGAAAATGGATGACCGCAGACGAACGTGAACGACATGCGGCAAAAACGCATTCAGGGAAAAGCCCTCCCTCCTAACAAAGTCAAAAGAAGAATGTGGAAAATCTTATGGCTAGATTGCGCGGACCGGGATAAAGGATACGAACTCTTGGATTGACAAGCCTTCTCAAGCACGTGACCTAAAAGCTACTTAACCAGCAACATGGTCTAGAGGCACACCTTCGGTTCCCGATGCCACAACAGCTGCGGACAGCGTATCCAACTGAAGAAACCAAGCCAAACCACAGTGTAAAAAGCTCTTGATAGATTAGTCGAAAAGGTCGTTGCTGGTTAATTACGTGCTTGACTGACCAACTTATTCGTTTGTGCATAAACTTATTCGTTCGTTTGTGCATAAATACGGTTTTTATGCAATTTTCAGTTTTCACTATGAACAAGAACGCCGAACAAATTACTCAATCTAATGGTACATGATCAGACTGCTTCACCGCTATGGGTCAGAGTTGCTGAGAACATATGAACTAAGAAGCGAGCTATCACGACAAGAAGCGATATGACAATTGATAGATTCTGGGCAGCCCATCATATTGCCACAGAACATCCTATGATTTCGCAGAAGCCCAAAGCGATGAAAGGAACATCTGCGAAAGGGTTTTCTTAGAAGTCTTCATAATACACAGCACGGACATTGTTAACTTGAGTACTCCGGAATTTAATCGGAATTGGTTACATGCATAAGAAGCTTGCAAGGTTCAAAGCAATGTCTAAATGACGTTGGAGAACCCAAGGGGCATTTGATAGTACTGTCGAGATACACGTTCGGGTCAACATAACTTACTTATCAGAATTATGATTTAAGCGACATTGGACTGATAACTATTTGCGCATAAATTTGAATCGGTTGTATATTTTACCAGTTCCCTAAAGGAGCTGCAAACTCCTGCCGAAAGTCTACTTTCACCTGCCTATCGGATGAATTTTGATCCCTATGATTGCCAGTGGTGAACAAAATCTGAGTGACAGTAGACAGCCTCTATTTACTCGATCGATATATTTCACCTGTGCTGCATTTCTTACGTGCAAATTCAACGACTAGGTCACACACACCTGTGACTGACTGCATCTGCGCTCCGTACGCACCTCAACCGTTATTATGGCATCGCAGCCTCGTGTCGAGCCGACCTGTGAGATGTAGAGTTGTGACTGCCAGTTACAGTAGCATGAGGCGCAGTGTCACAGACGTTGTGAAAATGTGTACGCCGTTATAGCTTGCAGGTAACACTTTAATTATGTACCGAAATCGCCCTTAAGAACGACGTATTTCAGGGGAGAAATCAGTATTTCAGTGGAGTGAAACATTGACAGAACAGACGCCCCTCTGCTGCGTTGATATTTAATACTGCGATAGAGCGTAAGTATTATTACCTCGCCAGTGCAAGCAACACGGGTCCTGTTTTGCATGCTATTCGTGCAGCTAGAGAATGTTTATTTGTGAAGAAACACTTCGTTCTGAATCCAGCGAAAGTTTTGCTCACGGGCACCTGGGGAACTTGACAAGTCTCCGTATATCGTGAGCTATGTGAGTTGTATTGGGGCTCAGTCGATAGGGTGATGGACAGGACCAAGAGGTCAGTGGTTCGATTCCCGATCGGGTCACTAGCTTCCTTTCTTCCGAAGTGTTAATTTAGTACCACACTATGGATACTAAGGATTATGCTTGCCACGTAGCTGCTATCGACTCGGCCTTTAAAAAATAAGGGACTCTACCCCGGTGGCAAGGAAGTGGAGATCAAAGCGCCCACCCCAGCTGATTTCTTGGAAAAAAGAGCACTAAAATAGCTTCATCAGTTAAATTGTAAAGAAAATTGACTTTCCAATAGTCACTAACTTTCCTTCCTGTGAATTATACTTCGCTAAGGATGTTAACTCTTACCGCTACATGTACTCTGCAATTGGATTTCTGAAGAGCAAATAGTGCAGCCCTAAGCCAAATAGTCAAGTATTCCTAGCAACAGACGTTAATTACTGGTCACTCGTTTGCTTGCGAGAGCTTCGAAAGTTCATTAGTATAAATGACCAGTCATTCAGTTTCGATTACCACTTCTCTTCGCGTTGCGGAGGCAGATGCGTCTGACAATGTCTCGAATGTACCTGATCCTGCGCCAGCGTTTGAGCTTCGCAGATGATTAGCCGAGTCTGGAGAAGAGTGTCGAGACATTTTTCCCAGACTATTTTTGGCCGTTCATGGGTTCTTTGGATGGCCGGTTTGGCACGTAGCAGCTGTTTCGCCTAAATTCTGAGAGGATTCCCAAGACGTACCAAAATCATCGCAGCTGTGACTTCTCAATTTGAAGAAGCAGCTGCTGTATGCGAAAACTTTGTTGGTCATGTGGAGACACGTGAGTCCAGCGATTCGTCTCCGAGAGCCCATTTCAGCAGATTGCACCCAGAATCGAAGTTTATCAGTCATGACCGATAATTCCTAACCGTAGGTAAGCATGACTTGAAGATTCACTTGAAAACCGAGAGCTTAATTTTCAGACTGAGCTCTGTTTAGTCACAATGGATCGGGCTAGTTGACGCAGAACGTCACTGGGTACTCCAATTCCCCGGTCGATCTCGACCTCAAACTTTCCATCACTGGTAATTACGACTCTGAAGGACTTGAACTTCTCCACCTATTCCATTGCCTCTCCGTTAATCTGAAGAGAGCAACGGGCAGGAGAACGAGAAAGCATTAGGGTTTTCGTTTTAAATCCGTTCACACGTATGCCGGTCACATCGCACTCGGTGCGAACCTTTTTAGGGAGCACTGAAGATCAGCTTCAGAAGATGCCAATAAAACAAGGTCGCTTGCAAACAGCATCCTTCTCATCTCCACATCTCCTACGCTGATGTACTCGTCATGTT